TTTTTTGTTTTTTTTTTTTTATTTTATTTTTATTTTTTTTTATTTAGGACGTCAATTTAATGAGGGCAGATGTCCACCGTGCCAATTTATTTCAATATTGGGCCATTTGGTCTGCAGACATGTGACCATCGGATTTGAGGTGCAAATCGACTTGAGATCGCCCTCTAGCAATATTGCCGAGCCACAGTAATAGCGCACCTGTAAGATAAAGGGGAAAACAGTTAGGGTTAATGTAATACAGTTGCAAAATGTTTTATATTTTTGTAAAACATGATAAGGTTCTATTTGTGTTGTGAATCATATCTAAAGTTGCTTCAATTTCGATTCGTATTGCTATACGCTATAAATCAACGGACTGACATCTGAATACAATTACAGTTGTAATAAATAACTCTAATATGAATAGCACAAGGTAACATATATATATGTAAACACTTCGATTTGCTTTCATTAGACTAAAGTTTTTGCTAATTAACTGAATGCGTACAGCTAATGTCAATTAAAGTTATAAATTAAATGACTGATGTATCTTAAGTGGGCATAATTCTAACCTATTCAAATTTTATAAACACGGCTTTCCAACTAGGAAAGCCTCAAACTCTACCCATTGACTATGATGCGCATTGCTGTGCTATGAAATGTTAAGCAACTCGAGTGTTTGTTCACCTTGTTGTTTTCGTTGGAGCCGGGTATGCCATTGTAATGCATAAGCTCGAAAGTGTCGGGAGTTGAGCGGCGCTCCAGTGGGAAAAATTCATCCATGAATGCATTCAAGAGAATAATACCGAGATTCTCAGGGTCCAAACGCTTTTGCATGAGACTTACACTGGACGATGACATGAAAATGGAAGGAATCATGTTATTTAACTAACGGCAAACGATATTAAGAAGCAACTCACTATCCCGGCTCGCTGACCAGATTCAATGCGGCTAGCACATCACGCAGCAAGGTGCTCGATATGAAATTATTGCCCTCCGGATCGTATGACTTGAAGATACGACGTCCTGTCTCCGATGGTGTCTCTGGAGAGACCAGCCTCTTTTCGTTGCTAAACAAAACTGCAACAGAGTACAGTGAATCCATATTAATAGTGAATCAATATGCAAATACGGAGATAATAAATAAATACCTGTTAAATGCGTATCCGAGCCCATTACCCAAACTGGGTAGCGTGGATTCTTGAAAAACGAGCCCACTGTGCAGTAGCGCATCTGTTCCATTAGTGTTATAAATCCAATATCGCTCTGCTCACAAATGCCACGCAGCTTCAGGCCTCCCACATCCTGCTCATTGTCCCAGACATGAGCCACAGCACGTCCAGTTAGCATTAGGTTAATCAACGACTGTGCACCATAGCCATATGTGCTGTGTATCAGCGGCTCCGATGTGTCCGATATATCAGATGTCACCTGCTCCGTGCCCTTGGTTAGGAATACCGAATACATAAACAACAGCACGCCGTACGTATTCGATAGCTGACTATAGTTGTCCACATAGTAGCGAGCCACCTCGCCAATGTGATCAAAGTGAAGCGTGTGGAGACGCTCATGAAATTGGTCCGGTGTCAATTCCAAATTGAAACGTGCGACAATAGCTGTTGCATCGTTTTTGGCTGCAAGAGCAGTGGCACCTGCAGCTGCAGTCGCATCGGCGGCATCAATACCAGTTGACTCCTCCGCTTCCACAGCATTTTCAATCGAATCAGTGGGCGGCGTCAGTCGACGCTCTTTGGTTGCACGCCGATGCAGTGAGACAATTTTATAGCGCGGCGCTCGACAATTCTTCAATATGTTGCATAGTGCCTGAATGAGCAGAGTCTGGCATTTTTCACTGGTCAGCTGGTAATGAGATTAAATTGAAATTAAATTTCTATTGGCATTTCGAGCGTGTGGGCGGGGCGAGGAAACAAATAAGGAGGGGAATAAAGGAATGAGGGTGCTTACCTGTTTTAATTGAAAGCCTGGCATGTCCATGATAACTATCTTAAGCAAGTACGCCTGTACGGGCGCTATCACAGCACAAGGACCGCCCTGTTTTTGCACCAAAGCCGAGGGCTCCACATCACTAAACTCAAAGCCTGCAAATGCATATTGTATGTATTATACATATATATAGTGTACAGAGAGATACACACACAAAAAGCGCGCGCGCTTGTTAACCGCTGGCACTATCTGTTTGGGTGGGTTGGGGTTGGGGTTCGTGTGTGTGGGTGGTGCGGTGCAACAGCAACTTACCTTGAGACCAACGCTTGAATACATCTTCGCGCACACTGTCGCCCCACAGCAACTGCTTAATCTCGCGCAGCTCTCGCATGTCGCTCTCACTGGAACGCACTTGCGGTTGTTTTCGTCCAGCAGCAGCAGCTGCTGCTGCTATTGATGACGGTGTACTGCCACTGGCCATAGATAGGTCTTGTTGCTGCTGCAGCTGCTGTTGTTGCTGTTGCTGCTGTTGTTGCTGCTGTTGCTGCTGCTGCTGCTGTTGCTGTCCTACTGTGTTGTGAGACTGTGATTCCAAGGCTGTTGACGCCAACGTCATCGACGCCGTGGCTGATGCAGTTTTCGGCGAGGCGCACTTTTCGCTGCGCTGCTCCCGTTCGCATGCGTCGCTCATCTCGCGTCGTTTTCTTTGCTGTAGGGGGGGAAGGGGTGTACGGGTATGAAATCACAAAATGTATTCGTCTTTATCGAAATCGAAATACAATAAACGCAAAGTCAACTATTTAGGTTGGCATTTTTTGGCTATGCAAATGCAACAGTGTAGGGATGTACAAAATATGGGTGCATCAATTGCTATCGATACGATTGCACGATATCACAAATGCAAGTGCTGCCCACTGCAGGCTAGTGATGTCACTTAGCGACAAAGATTCATTCGTGAAATCAATCGAGTGTTTTTAAGCAAATATATCGTATTGTTATTGTTAAATTAAACAACAAAGTAGTATTATTACAAGTAAAATCTATTTGACAATAGCCAGACTTTCTTTTGTAAAATATAAATAATATGTTGAAGTCTTTTTTTAAGAGTCTAGAAATCTGACAAGTTTATCGAACCGACTAGATTAGTGCACTGACCAGTGATTAGTGTCTACAATAAACACGAATTAAATATCGATATATCGATAGTAAGTAGTCATCAATTTGGTATCTAACTGGACCTCTGTTTATAAACATAATAAAGTTATTGGCGCCCCATGGAACTTAGAAGCATATTGCCAAAAACTTCAAACGCAACTAATCAATGCACCTCGCCTACAGTCGCACCGAACATGAGGAAGCCCGAAACGGCACGCCTCTACTACTGTCGCTCCTGCCTGGTGGCCTTTCCCCGGTTTCTCGCCTGCAAGCTACACGAGCAGCTGTGCGACGCGCGTTTAGCCCGGCTGCACATATGCAAATATTGCCTGACGCTGTATGGGGATGAGCAACTGCATAAGCGTCACATCCAGCGCAAGCACATGGATCGCCGGTATATGTGTTTGCAGTGTGGTACGTTTGGCAAGCGCTACAGCTCCTCGATATTCCTCTTCAAGCATGTCGTATCGTGGCATGGCGAGCAGTCGCTCTTCTACTGCGCCATGTGTGCGGACAACTGCAACGACGCGAAAGCATTTAGCTGTATGCGTGATCTGATTGCTCATGCCGAGAGCGAGCACAGTCTGCACGGCGATGGCAGCGTTGTGGACGAGACGGAGGACCTGGAGATGCTTGAGGAGAACATTGACGAGCTGCTGCCAACGGTTGACTGGGACGATGATTTAACATTTGGCTGGCCCATGGATTTGGACAAAGAGTCATGCATTGCCGATCCGAAGCCAAAGCCCAGCGCTTACGTCTGTCCAATTTGTGCTAATGGATTTACCGGCAGCATCAGCCTGTTAAAGCATATCGAAAAGTCGCATCAGCGCAATCCCCTGATCTGCATCTTCTGTGGCAAATTGCACAAAAACCGCGAGGCAGTCAGAGCACATTTTCAGCGCCAGCATGTCCTACTGCGCGCTCACATCTGTAGAGTGTGCAAGGCAGACTTTACCACCGCCGATCATCTGTTGAAGCACCGAAGAAGCCAGCATCTGGAGCGTGCCTTTGTCTGTCCCGAATGCGGCAAGTCCTTTGCCCAAATTGGTCATCTAACTCAGCACATGTTGTCCGAGCGAGGTCATATCAAACATATATGTGCTCTATGCAACACGCAGTTCTTTCGCTCCATCGATCTCATGCGCCACACTCAAGTCCAACACTCACTGCATCCCTAACAAGGTAGGTTACAAGCACACATATTGCTTGACTACTCTCACTTAGCAGTTTGAAAAAAAAGAGACAGCGCTTATAAATGTATAATGCATATCTGGATGTATTCATGTATTTCTTTAGCAACACCAGAGAGAACATCTTTCAATGTCAGTGTTTACAAGAAACTATTAATCTCAATTTGCTAGCTAATTGATCTCTGGTGGAGCGCTCTAGCTGCTCCCAGAAGAGCAAGCAAAAATGCGTACGAAAAGGTTATAAAATAACGTTATAGTCCAATTTATATTAGATTTCATATATATCGTAGTTTTGTCTATATTCCATATAAAATTTCTATATTTATCAAAATGTTGCATATGCTATCCATCTATTTAATTGGGGTTTCATATTGGGTCGAATAATAATAATAATAATCAAAGGGACAAGTGGTATATGGCTATGGCTGTTCGACTTGGATAATCTTAACCTTGCAAAGAGAGGAATCCAATACATGTATGTGCTTCTCTTTACTTACTTTTATATCCAATACCTTTTTTACACGAACACACACATACACACGCGCTAAACGATTTAGCACAAGTTTACGCGGCGGCAGCGCTTCGCCTGAAGTCTGAAGGAAACTTTTCTTTTAGATTGATTTTTTTTAAAGAAATTCTCAAACCGAGCTACGAGTTTATTTAGTAAAGCACCAGCCTCTAGTATTTGAAGTTTATGCTTTGACAGTTAAGGCGAAGGTAGAGTGATATTGTAAAATTCTAATGTTTGTACATACTTATGTATATAGAACTAAGTTTAGTGTGTTTAATCTATTTAACACACAAATCTTAGTTCTACTGATATTCCAATTAAGCCTAAGAAACGAAATAAAATGATCGATTTTTTAATAATGAGATGAACGATTTGGAATAATATATTACTTATTATTTAATAGATAATTAAAAAAAATACAAACGTGATGGTTTCCGTTTTTCAATGAGTTTAAATTAATATTTATTATAAATATGTGAGATATCTATACATAAAATGAGCAGAGAATTATTTAAATCTATGCACAAAATACATCGGATAAATAATAAAGCTTATACAAATGGATATATATACAGTAGAATCCGGTTATAACGACTCCGCTTAAAGCATCCAACCGGTTATGTCGACGAAAATTCGATGTGCAAAGATGTTTCCATTGGCACTAAAAGCTCCTGCAAGCGCTCTGTTAATTAACAGCGCACCTGCTGCACCCTGCGTTTGCACACACACACATACGTAAATCGGTCACGCACGCCAGCCTTAACAGTTAAAAGTTTTAAGCGCTAGCCCAAGAGACGTCGGCAATACTCACAGCGACGACGACGATTCGATCGCAGCAGCCGACATAAGAGCGTCGCGTCCGTTACAAACTGAGAGCGTCGGAGCGCAACAACAGCAACAGTAACAGCAGCAGCGCAGCAGCAGCAGCAGTGGCAGCTAAGCCAACGGCGAAATAAACGTTATTGTCATTAAAAGTCTCGCTGTTGGCCCACACAGGCGACAGTTTTGAACGAATCGTGCTTGTGTTTGGATTGTGCGTCGCCGTCGCCCTCGTCGTCGTCGTTAAAAAAGTTAACAAAATATATTCTTGTTTTTGTTTTTAGTTACTTTATCGCTTCGCTAAAAAGCGTTTGATAAATTAAAGAATTGTTGTGTTGACTTAGAGAGCAGACAATAACGTGTAAGTGCATATAAAAAAATAAACAAATAAAAATGAAAAACTAAATGTCAAAATAATCCATTAAAACTGGCGATCAAGCAACGCGACCCTCAGCCGCCAACAACTATTTTTTTGTTTGTTTTGTTATTGTTTTATTCTATTTATTTTGTGTGTGTTGTTTTTGTTATTGTTTGTACTAATCGGGCTCAAAAGCTTTTGTGTTGCATTTGACGAGTTGGCTTTGTTAATTGTTGCTAATGTCGCTTTGAAAACTAAACTCGAATTAGAACAACATTTGATCACTCATAGAAACGAATTCTAATTTCTGATGTTGAATAAATAAAATCATAAAAAAAACCACACACAAATTAAAAAAAAAAAAGAATGCAATAAAAAAAACCCCGTGGAAATTGTTACGCTCGACTTAACGCACGTTGAAATTTGTTTTTGTTTTTTTTTTTTTTTTTTTGAACCTGTTGTAGACGTAAAGTTGAATAAACGTATTATTAACCGCTCAAGTCCAGTCATCAGCGAGTTAAATAAATAATAGCAATAATAAATATTTGATATACATACATATATAAATACAATGAAATAAACTCTTATCTATAAACAATAATTTTGATATGTGAATATCATAAGAAAAGCGAATATGTTTAATTTACCTGAGCACACCTGAACTTCATAGCACACCCCAATTGGATTGCATATCAAATTTTGTGTTTGGTTTTCATTTCATTTTAAACAAATTCAACTTCTTAATAAAGCAAAAACCCGCTTTAAACTGGACCTGCAGGTGAATCAAGCATTTGCGAGCCGGTCGATCAACAGGTTGAAAGCCATTTAAGAATTATCATAACGATCAATAACTGCAAATAGTTGTTGTAGTACGAATTCAATTCGAATAGATGGAAGGGCGCCAGCAAATATTATCCAACAGCTTATCAAAGCCAAAATCGAACTGCTTATCATACTTGGGTTTTTTGCCCTCGACCAACGATCGCCACTGAACTGAGCTGAACTGAACGGAGCTGAACGCTCAACGATCACTTTACCGATCCGCTGGGGAACCATTAAATCCATAATTTATGCTGCCCTCTGTACCTCAACTGTTGCAGACATGTTAGTTATTCAGCATGCAAAACATCAGCCCTCAGTTGCCCCACGATGTTGTAGGAATCCTACGATGAGAGGCCCCTTGGCTTAGCATAAACTCCATGCAGAGGGTGTATCGTAGTTAAAGTACATTCATATATTGTACACTGTATCGAAAATGTGTTCGCACACAGTAATACACTCATATATTAACGGTACTAGAATAGTCTGGAATTTTGCGAAATATAGGAATATTCAATCTAAACTGATATTGTGAAAAATATGCATTCATATATTACGTTTAGTTCTGAATATCTGTCAAGCTACACTAGATTAGGGTATTAGCTAGTCGTGCTTTCGTCAGTGCAGCACTTTTTTTTTATAATTGTAATTGATTTGCCTTTTTGCGTGCGCAGACGTTGCTGTTATCTGCCTCTCGCTGTGTCCCTTTTGTTTTCTGTTGCTTTCGCTGCCGTTGTCGCGGTTGCTGCTGTTTGTTGTTGTTGTTGTTTGCTGGCAATTGAAATCGGCGCTCGTGCGCAATGGTAGAGCTATGCAGACGAAAATGGCTGAGAAGCTTTAGCCAGGTAACGCGGGATCACGGCACGGCATGACGCACCGTTCTGCAATGTCTCAGCCAATACGGGCTAAACCGACATCGACGCAGTGAGACAGCAACAACAACATTGATTGGTCAACGATAATATCAATACGAATACAAATACAAACGCAAACGCATTAACTTATTAATTAAAACGTGCTGAATTTATAATCTGTACGCAGGCAACGTACTCACACTCACAGAACAGCATTGGCATGCGCTGCAATTGCTGCTGTTAACGCAACACATGACTAAAATATTGCACGATTTGTGTGATAAGCGACGCCGGCACACACACACACGCACACTCATCTAGGCGACACTCTGCCATAGTAGTAGCACAAAAGAAAATAGACGAAAACTACAGACAACGGATATTAATTTGCATTTAACAGAATTTGAGTCATGCTAACAGCGCACTGTTAACGTAGACTGACTAAGTTTCATATATTTTCGCTGTTGCTTCCTGCAGCCACCCATGAATCACGCAGGTGAACAGCAACAACAACAACAGCAGCAGCAGCAGCAATAACGAAGTCTACCGCCGAATCGCTGTCATATCAATCAGCATTTGTTTACTCAATGGCAAAGAAAAGAAAGAAAGAAGAAGAGGAAGCAGCAGAAAATATGCTGTCGCATTGATAGTAGCGCACACACGATTGTTGTTTTTGTCTTGCTGATTACATAAATAAACACTTTTACGCGTGCGCCCCTGCCTGTGCTTTGTGCGCAGGCATCTCCACTGTGGGCGTATGCACACAACATGTGTGCTTAAACATACATACATAAGTAGTTATGCTCTTCTCTTTTTGTTGTTATTGGCTATGCGGTAATACAGAGCTTTTTTTTTAAATATCTTCAAGTAAACTTCTTTAAACGCTGCGCTGCAGTTGAAAGTCAGAGTTAAAGCTATTTTTAAACAAGTTGCAGGCACACGAAATACACACACACAAACACGCACACTCACACACGTATGTATGCATATTCAGTGATTCCTCTGCTTAGCTTACTATCGCCCGCGTCTTGTGGTATTCCGTTTGTTTTTCTTGTTGCTTCTTTTTTCCTTCTTTGACGTGCATGGTGCGTTCTTTGGCTTGCGCGAGCTTTCGAATTCGCCTGCAGCTTGTGGGGGGCCATTTCGCATTTTTTTTTTTTTTTTGCATTTTTATGAATGAAATGCGATGCATTGTTATTATTATTATGGCTGCTTAGTTGATAAACTGCCTTGAGCGTTTCGCTATCAGCGTTTGCATATATTTCATATATGTATGTATATTTTTGTTTGTTTTTGTTTTTATTCTGCGCACCATTATCGCCACAACAACAACAACAACGACGACGACACAGCAGCAACAAATGAAAGTGAAACGCGCTAACTGACCTATAATAAACATTTTCATATTCATGCATGCCAAATGGACATACATACATATGTATGTATTTGCATATATGCATAAATACATACATACATATGCATGCATGTATATAGCTGAGTATGAGCATATACATATGTATAGAGTATACAAAATATCCTTACGCACGTACCTACATAAATCAGCATGCCCACGCAATGTAAATACAAATCTATAGAGAATCCTCTGTCAAGAATTTTAATTAAAAAATTCATTTTTCCTATTAAAACAAAGTAATGTGTCAGAAATACTCTACTAAAAACTAAATCCAGTTTATATATATGATTCTATATGTAGAGATATTTATATATTAAATTATTTTGAGCATAGCTTTACTATTTTAAGAGGATTTAAATATAATACTAATATTATAATAAACAAATTCAAAGGAAACTCCATACTCTACTATTTACTTTTAATAATAAAAAAAAAAAAAAAACTAAAACTGGAATGTTTATATAAATATGTATACATATGCATACGATATATCGTATATTCATATGGAATATCTTATACCTTGGTGCAAATGCAAATCAATATAAGTTCGTAGAGCGACTGTTAAAGAGCATTTGATAGTCGTCTCCACTCGCATGAACATTCCTAGATGTTTTTCTTTAATGCGCTTCGACTATTTTTACTGTTTCCGGACAAGAAACCCACTCCATCGGTAGCTTATCAAAATGGTCAGCTGATTGAAGAGTCGGATCAACCAGGCCAAGAAAACAAACATTGTCCATTCATGGCCAAAAGCGGAAAATAAGCATTTATGTCACGCATACAAAATATCCTCTAATCAAACTGAGTGCAAAAAGGGTATACATGCAGACATCATTTTCATTGACAAATGAAAGAATATAAAATTTATATATATATTTATATATACATATGTGTAAGTGTGTATAGATTATTGGTCAGCAATATATATCAATAAAAATTCTATGAATTTACAGATAGTTCAGATTGTTCAATTGATTTTAAGTTTTTATTACATAGGGTATTTTCAAGCTCATCAACTTGGCTTCTGGGAACCTTCGTAGCAATCAGCGGGCTGATGATTTACTTATTGATATGCCCAACACATAATTGCATACACACACACAGACACAGTCTTGCATTTACACACCCGCACACACACATTCACACATGCATATATGTATAGATTTGTATGTATGTCTCTTTATGATAACGCTGCATTTGTTGTTGTTCTTTACATATTTTGTTGCTTGCGTATCAATGTCAAGTTAACCATACAAAAAAAAAAAAAAGAAAAGGTTTTGTCATCCACAGTTGACAACAATAACAGCAACATTTAGTGACCCCAATTAAAGTTACGTCTGTCGGCCAATCGGCGTGTGGGCGGCTGCCAGAGTGTTGGTGTGCTGCGTACACCTGTTGCATTGACATAAACCAGTGCGCTGACTGAAACATAAATAAATCAGCTGTCAGAAGGGCGACCAAATCTTGGCTGACGCCTCTGTCTCTCTTCATAAAAAAACAAGTCATAAATCATAAACTTAGCGTAAAGCAGACAGAAGTATTAAAAAAAGCTTCGCTATTTACATAAATGTTAATTAAGTGTTGTTGTTCTACTCTCTCTCTGTCTCTCTCACTCACTCATCCACGTCATGCTGCTCTATTTGCAGACAACAAAGTGACAGCCAACGATAATAACGGTACATTGGTTAACAGCGCAAGAACAGGCGTTTAGCCATGACACAAACCCAGCACACAATGCGCAGCTGCAGCAGCAGCAGCAGCGATTTACAGCATGCGCAACAGCGACGTCGACGCCAAATGTCAACGCATTGTTCGACGCTGCTGCTGCTGTTGCTCGTGATCAGCTGTGGCATTTCCGTTGCCTTCGCTGCGACAGCGCAGTCGCGCTTGTCTCAACCCCAGGGCAGAATACGGCCGCCGCGTGAGATATATGAGGACGATGCCGGCGCCGCAGCTGCCGCTGCTGCAGCCGCCGCCGATGCCGAGGCTGCGGAGGCAACAAGCTGCTGCCAGGGCGCAGCAGCCACATCTGTCGAGCCTGTCACGGTAAGTACACATACATACACACATATACAATACAAAGCTCGCTGGGAGTCGGCGCCAATGCGTCGCACCTCAGCCAAGACGTAGACCGAGACCGAGACGTTGCATTATTTGGGTCAGCTGCAGTTGCCTTTGCCGTTGCCGTTGACGTTGCAGTTGCAGCAGCTTTTTTTTACGCTCACCCATTCAGTCTGGGTGCTGTGCCTGATAAGCTGCCACGCAAATGGACAGCGGCGCCTCACTGCCAGCCGCAGGCTGCCCTGGCCTGGCATTGATAGTGGCTGGGGTCGCCTTGACTCCAAACTCAAATAGCTCGCACTGCGCCTTAATAATCCGGAGGGAGGGGGGGGGGGGTGGGGCGTTACTCGGGCTCCCACCTCGCACTCGTTTTATTTGCTTAGCAATTGTGTTTGCACCAATTAAAAGATAAATTTCTTTACGTCTGCTGTACTCCCCCTCTGCCCCTCTGCCCCTCTCCCATACTCCTGCGCCACGCAGCGGAAATGAGAGTGGGATTTTGGCATATTTGTGCAAGGCGAAGCTTTTTCTAAATATTTACTTAGATACAGTTGCAGATACAGTTGGAGATACATACGCAGATATATGTAGATACACAGCTACGGATACAATTACATAAACGTAAACAAATACGCTTATCGGAACCAATTGGATCGTATTACGCACCTCCGTACATTTCTAAGAGCTCGCGCGTCGATAAAAGTAAAAGAACATTTTTAGAACTTTCAATGTATTGTCCTAATATATAATATATATGTATATAGAATAACTGGAAAATTCGTGTACTTTCCGACGTGGAAAAGTCTACTTTGCCTCTTGGTTAGCAAATCCTATGGACTTAGCGCCGTCCCAGTTATTGACAGAACTACAAATGGTTTTGAGGTTATAAAAGCCTTTTCTAAGCAAATAAAAAATGCTTTACAGGGATATTAGATATGCAAGACTTTGTAGCTATAATTATACAATATACCATCAATTCCCGATGGCATTGATTATATATTCTATGTTGAAATTCTTAGTAGAATATATATGTCTATGTTTGACGTAAAAGTTCTTCGTTTTCACTTACCTTTGGGTGCTTCCACATTAAGGAAAATTCTTCAGTTTTTATGAGCGGATCCCTATTGAATATGGTCTTCTATTCTCACTCGTTAATATATTTTGTGCACCGTTGCTACTGAATATGATTTTATTTTATTTTTTTTTTAATAAACGCAAGTACGCTCTGAAAATGAATAGGCCACGTATTCATCTAAAGCCTATGAAGTCAAGGCCTGCTTGTCTAGTTTGATTAGTATATACTAAGTATGCAGATGTGACAGAAATGTCAAAAGTATATACTATTACAGCATTACTGCTGTACTATGTAACCCTGTTCCAATGTCCGAATATATAAACTCGTTGAAGTGGACAACTCTTGGAGCTAGAGATTCGACTTTGTCTCAAGCAATCGATAGCAATGTCCGTGACGTCGATAACAGGAATATATATCGAACTTCTGTGCTTTAGGCTTCTTTGCGAAACTAAAGGATATACATATAATATTATTACCAAAATATGCTGTCGGATATTCAGTTTACTCCGAATTAGGCTGTCTCTATATATTTTTGGCGAATTATGCCATTGTCAAATGAATTTTACTCCGAATTAAGCCTCAATTTATGCACTTCACTCTGAGCTATATTACGCCTTCGCCATTACTCCGAACTTTGCCCTGCGTTTATGCACTTGACTCCGAATGATAGCATTCATGCTTCTTGTTCTATCGTTGATACATCTTACTCCGAACTATGCATTTGTTTCTATGCCAGCCACTATGCCATCCATGTATAAACTTTATTTCTAATTATACCATTCAAGTAATTTACTCCGAATTATCCCATTGATATAAATAATGATAGATGTGATATATAGAATACAAATATATGGATATATTTTGTATAGTTGTATAGTCTGATATGTTTGTTTTTATTTTATGTCACATCTAGTTGAAAAGTGTGAAATAAAATGGAATGCATATATATTTATATTTCAGAGTCAATGGAATTTGCAGTTTTCAGTGACTGAAAATACTTTTGTACCCCTCCCCCCCTCTATCTTTCCCTTTGCCCCTGAACTTTACGTGCTAATAAGTTGGCAGCAAAATAACAGTTGAGAGCCGTAGCACCAGCTGCTCTGACGACACTGTGATTCATGTGGTAGAGGCACGGGATGGGGCATGCAGGAACGAGGAACGCTGAAACGTCGTTAGACGCCAATATTAGCGACGTGTCAATTGGTCAATCAGGCAATATTTGTGACGGCGACAATGGGACGTGTGTAGTTGAGCTCTATTGGTTAGCCGCATTATTAGCGGGGTCTAGAGCGAATGCCTGGCATACCCTTCGGGCCAGTTGACTCAGCCGTCGCCTAAGATGTGGGCAATACAAATACTTATATATATACATATATATA